CTTCACAAGGCGCCCATTGTGCTTAAATATCTCCATATGTATAATACATTATAGAAATAAAATATTATTTCGATCAAAGCTTCGTAATTGGTTTACTATTAGAAAAAGATAAAAAGCTTTCACATTGCCACAAACTGTGTTTTCTCTCATTATACTTCAATAGCCTCTAAGTGGAAAATTAATATACCCAGAAATTATTGAATAAGAATAAATAATAAATATAGCCCTAGAGGCTTATATATATTCATACAGTTTTGGTAAAAATTAGCTTCTGATATAAAAATCCATGAAATACTTATCTGTCATCACTGATGTTAATTCTAACTTTGCAATCCAATTGTAAATTCTACAAACAACCGATGTATAAGGTTAGCCTTAACATCATCCGAGTAAAATACATCCATTTCGTAGATTTTATGGCGCTCAATTCAAATCTGGCCGCTTTAGCACGTCAGGATTTTGAGATATCCTAACCTCAAAGTGCCAAGAACACGGGTTTTGCCACTATATATTAATACAACCTATTATAAGGACAACAAATTTGTTTTCTCATTTCTACTTAGGACATCATTTGGCACTAATCTTCGAGTTTACAATTCATTTTTGGTTTGTACGATTCGAATTTTCTTTCTTGACACATGCCAGTTTTAATATGCAGCACATCGGTATTGCTTCGTAAGCATGAATCTTCATAGCTAATACCGAAGTACTGCACATTTAAACTGGTATATCTCGAGAAAGATATATCGAATCGCAGCAAACGAAAATGAGTTTTAAACGGGACGAGTAGTACTAAATGATGTAAGTAGAAATGAGCTTAAATATTTGTGTTTATAACATAACCTCAAATATCACCAAAAACCGTTTTTTTGGCACTTTGAGGTTAAGATATCTCCGCCTTCCAAACATACGAAACCTTGTGATATGTATATATAAATAATTCTTCTGTACGTGTGTTTGTGCGTGATCTCCTTCTAAATGGCTAGAATAGTCCCTGTTTAGGTTCACAATTTCACCTGTCACCATCGAACTGAATTGTTGTTGCCGCCAGGCAGTAACGAGTCAGAATAGTTCTGTGCGTAGAAGTCAACGTAAATGGAAAAAGCTCTTGACTACCATTCACCTGGGAGTGGCCAGACGTGATTCGGTCATCGCAGTTCACAATATCCGGATGGTGAAACCCCGACCAATGAAAAATAACAAAAAGCCTCAGATGAGACCCCTTTTTTTTGATGACGACCACGGCAAACATATAAAGAACAATAATTTGAGGGTATGCACCTGGAATGTCCTGACCCGTAATGGAGACGGTGACTCTGGCCGGCTGGTTGATGTCCTCGGGAAGACTAAGGCTAACATCACCGCCATACAAGAAATGCGATGCAAGGTACGCGTGGAGCCTTGCGACGTCTACTACAGTTGTCACGTAAAGGAGTGCGAATACGGTGTTGGATTTGTGGTTGGAGAGAGACTCCGTCGCTGAGTACTGCCGTTCAACATCTCGCTCACTTGTGCCCATGCCCCGACGGAAGATAAGTACGAGGCGTCCAAGGATCCTTTCTATGAGCGCTTGGAGAGAACAAATGAGCGCTCCTCCCGACACGATATAAAAATCGTGCTTCACGATTTCAATGTCAAGGTGGGCAAGGAAGTGATCTTTTGTCGCCACTGTCGGAAAATTCAGCCTCCACGACGAAATGTCCGATAACGGACAAAGGTTGATCGACTTCGCCGGGCCCGAAACACGGTAATATGCATTACTAGGTTCCAGCATAAAAATATCCATACAGCTACATGGCTGCCTCCAGATCGGAAAGCAAAAAACCAAATCGACCATGTTGTGATAGACGGAAGTCATGCTACTAGTATTTTTGACGCACGTAGACTCCGAGGGTCAAAAATCGACTCGGACTACTATCTTGTTTCAGCCAAGATGCGCACCCGCCTCTGTGCACCAAAAAATGTGCGCCCACCAATGCAAAAAAAAGCTTTACGTCGAAATGCTGCAATCTCAACAGACGGCCTATTTATTCGCCACTCGACTCACACACCTGCTCTCTGATAGGACTCCCCAACAAACCGACATACGCGAGCAGTGGAACTACATTTCCCGCTCTTTTAATAACGCTGCCGAAGAAATAGTCGCATTTCATCGAGCCCGAAAGAACAACTGGTACGAAGAGGAGTGTCAAGAAGCTACATAAAAATGATGCCGCCTACAGTGCCACGTACGTGAGTGCGAAGATCTTGAAATGCTGGCCGACGGGAAGGCGGCTGAAAATTTTTGCAGAGCGTTAGGCGACTTACGGAATGTTTCAAGACCACGGCGAACACCTGTAGGAACAACCATGGCGACCTAGAGACCTATGTCTAGAACGTATTTAAATTATGGGGGGACCATTTATCCACCCCATTGAATGGCAGCAGCCCTGAAAGTAGTGGAGAAGACAAACCCGAGCCGATGACGAGGTACGAATAGCAATAGTACGCTTCAGAAACAATTAAGCTGTTGGAGCTGACAACCTGCTAGCCGAACTATTTAAGTACGGCCGCGAGGAGCTGATAAGGTGCATGTATCAGCACGAATGCAGAACATGGTCAAATGAACGCATGGCCAATCCACAATAAAGACGAACCCGCATACGCGCCAACTACCGCGGGATCAGCCTACCAAGCATAGGCTACAAAGTCTTATCGAGTGTATTGTGTGAAAAACAGAAGCTCGCCGCCAACGAACTGATTGGACTTTATAAGTGTGGCTTTAGAACTGGACATTCCACAATAGATCAGGTATTCACAATACGCCAAATCTTGTAAAAGACTCGCGAGAATAGGATCCACACGATCTGGCAATAGCTACTGAACAGAATTGGCGAACAATTAGGCAGACAGGGTTAGGAACCATCATAAGGGTACAAAATATCTTCTAGATCGTGTTGCCCTTTCTGTTACACCCAAAACACTTACATACATTACAATGGCACACTGAACATAACAGTTGGGAATCATTCGTGATTGGAAGATAACATTCTTAGTATACAAAATAAGTTGAAAATTCTAAATACATAAAACAATTTTCCTCTAAAATATGACCATAAATTTATAAGTGGGTGTGTAAAGGACTTTCAGTTCTTTGGGTAGTGCAGTTAATTAGTTTTCAAATATTTACTCAAAAATTATATTTACAGTGAGTGTTAATCGTATATTAGTTTTTCGGAATTTTTACTGGAAATTGAGCGTGGCCCGGACACTTATATCTAATATGTGAATCTCGAAAACCACCTTCCCAATCATTTACATTCGTAAAGGCCGCCTTGAGAATGTTTGAAATCAGAGAAAGACACACCCTCTACATATATCGCTTAATGCTATTTTTCGAAAATCACTGTTTTTTACATATAACTCTTAAACATTTAAGGAAATTAAATGAGTGGATTCAAAAAATTCTTGTAACTTAACTGAGCTCTTAACTGCAATTAAGCTTTTGGTGGGAATATGCATTTATACTGATCCGCTATTGAAACAAAATGAAAGTTCTACAATTTATGACTTCTTTTAGTCTACCACAACAAAGGTTAAATAAATTTAAGGACGGGTTGGCGAAGATATAAGATACATACAACCTTGAGCACTTTGCGGAGCACTCAATCACCTTAAAACATTTTTTTAATACAAATATCTAACAATCAATTCAAACTTGTGCCACATATTATCAATAAAATCTATACTAAATCATACTAATTGAATTTAATTTGTAACAGCCAACTAAAAGTACATGCAATTCTAAAAAAAAAAAAAAATGCAATATTAACTGACTGATACCATTAAATTTGCAGCTTTAATGGAATACGATGACGTAATTGAAAGTTTGTTCAACGATTTGAACAAAAAAATAATCGAAAATTGGCCTAAGTTTAGGGGAAACTACGCACAGAATAAGAAAAATAATCCTCTCACCGACAACAAAAACACTCGCATTCGCAATAGCAGTTTTAGCGCGCTTAAGAGCACAACTATATAGAACGCTCGCTTGGAAAATGTTAACGTTAGATGCTGCTGCACGACTTGCTTACCAGGCGGCGGTTACCAACTTATTGCCAGTTAAAATCGCCTAAGCCAGCCAATTTAATTGCCACTGTAGGATCAAGACACGACTTAACGCAGCCGGTACTCCAACGCCACCTCAGCATGGACAGCAGCCAAAGCCGCAACTGCAGACGTAAACGCAACCACTCATACAACGAAGCCATAGCTGTCATAGCTGCAGAGTAAATACTACACATTGTTATTGTTATTGCTGCCGCTAGCCAAGTCACCGTTGCTGCTGACACTAGAAAAGCTGAAAAGGTATAAAAGGTTCGCTGCTCTCGCTGAGCGGTTCAATTAGACGTGAAACGTGTGCGCTTTTGGGTTGACTGCGATTGCAGCTAAAAACGGGAATTACCGTCACTATAGCCGTGTGACAATTTTTTAAAAATAATTTAAAAAGTAGAGAATTTATGAACTGTGTTTATTGTGAAATATAAAGTAGCAAGTACCGGCAGTAAAAAGTTTAGCAAGTCACGTACAAGAGCGCCTACACACAAGGCAACAATTTACAAACATCGTTAAAAAGGTAGCATTGAACATTTCGCAATTTGCAGTGTATTTTTCACACGCCTATTGATAAAAATTCGAAAATTCGCGTGTGTTTATGTGCTGCATGTTGCAGAAGCAGTGAAAAATTTGCATTCTTGACTCACTGAAAGTGAACGAGTGCAGTAATCAGCAATTCAAAAACCTATTTGGAACGTGACGCGCGCGAGGACAGCTAAGCGCATGCGCAACAAACATCCTTTGCATATGAACGACTGCAACAACAAATAGCGAGGAACTGAGTTAAGAGGCCTTGCAACTAAAGCATTGCCGTGGAAATCAATTTACAAATTCATAAAACGTTAAGTGGAACTGCCTCTTGTACAAGTGACAAACAAAATTACATACAAATTATAGTACGAATCAGATAAATATACAAAAAGTATTTACAAATAAGTAAATAAGTGGAAACTGAAGTGCGGCGAAGTTGCCGAAATCGAAAGCAGTCGAAAAACAATTGCAGTGCAGCAATATGGAAGCGAAGGTGATTGTTATTGAAAAATTTTATTAGAGATATGCATATACTCTACATGTAGATTAGACTGATTGAAAAAAATCGACCTTTTTTGTCTAATCCAGCTCGCCAATACCTCCGGGGGATGACATAAATTTAATTCTAAGTTTCGATAACCGTTAAACCAGTGGGTTTATCAAAAAATGATAAGAGGCGTTTTTTTGTAGAGGGGCCATTCCATTGTGACTGGTGGGACATTTTACTCCAGAATATGATAATTTGTGAGTTATAACTATATCGTCGGAACTTGTACAACAGCGAAAGATATTTTTTAACATAGAACGATAACGGATGTATAAAATTGCTTTAACAAAAATGCCAAACGATTTCTTAGTTTTATGTAACTATCATTTGAATTAATGTGGACTGGTGGGACACTGAAAATAACTGTATTTTACCCTTATGCACTCAAAGATGAATTTTAGCCAAAACACTTAATCTTCACGAAGTATGTTTTTGTGTGATAAAATGTGAATTATACGCCCAATAAACACAAAAACGAGGTTGGCATCGTATCGAATTCGAGACGAACTCGAGAAAATAAATTTCTCGAATATATTTTTGGGCTCGTTTCGATATCGAGATGAGCTCGAGTAAATCAGTTTTCTCGAAATGTATTTTTTATTGCATCGTCTTTGAGACACAATCAAAAAAATAGTTTTTTTTCGAAAATATTCTTTGTTAAGAAAATAAAACAAATACAATTTCTTTACATTTTATTTTAGTAAGCCGGCTTTATTTAATGCAGCAACGGAACCAAGTAAATATATGCATTTAAAGTGATTTGTAAAATCTTAGTTATTTCGTGAAGTGGGTATTTGCATATAGTAGTGCTAATTAATTTTAAATTATTTGCTACACATTTTCTGATATCCCTAGAAAACGAAACATTCTCTGTTGCTATTGCATTTTTTTACCTTTTGTTTATTTATGTTATAGATTTAATTTCAGATAGCTAGATTTTTAAGTCCTATAAAACTTGGGTCGAAAAAAAATTGCTATCTCAAACCACCAGCGAACTGAAATCTTGAGTGGAAAAATCAATAATTCTCGAAACGACAACAATTCGAAAAATAAAAATTATAGAATCTCCAACGATTAGAAAAATGAAATATTCTCGATTCGTCAGCGATTCGAAGAAAACAATTTCTCGAAAAACTATGTAGGTACTCGATTCGCTAGATTCGCTAATGATAGGTGACTCTCCTACGAATTCGAATTCGCCGAGATATCGTCGCAAAGTATCGCCTCGATTGTTCTATCAGAGAAAAGGAGCTCGTCTCGAATTCGTTGTGTTTTTTGGGCGCCTTCGTTTTCAATAAAAATTAAGGTTATATGATCATAGAAATATTAAAAAATATTTAAAGTCGTGACTGGTGGGACATATTCTTGTGACTAGTGTAAAGTAGTTATGCATGAAATAAAAGTTGCCATAGACAAAAATTACAACTTCCTTTTATTTTTTAATATTTTTCAACAGGTTAATGAAATTTAGTCATCTAAAAAAAGTTCACTACTGAAATAGAGATATTTAGGGCATATTTGAATTTATGTCGTTTTCCTCTTTAACACCCTTTTCAGTATGATAATTCATAGACGAGGAAACAAATTTCAAAGTTGAAAACAATTTTTTTCCAAGTAATTTATGTATATGGAAAATAGGAATCCACGATACGCGACCTTTTAAACTTAATATTAAGTGTTGCGCTTTTAACAGGCACCTTTATCTAATGTAGATACTTAGGTAGATATGTACATTCTTATTTTTATGCAATTGTGTAAATAGATATGTTTACGCCCTTCAAGCAGTTAGATCAAAAACTGTAATCACTGTACAAATTCCTATTAAACAGAAATGTATGTATGCAACAAAATTCTACTTCCTTGATTCTTTTTTTGTACTTTGCGATTCATAATATTTGCTCCATCTGTGCCAAAGGCATTTTTTGTAAGCTGAACCTTGTGGAAGATTATAAGGTAAAATCTTTGACATTCCAATAGTTTTTGTTTGGAAACAAAAAGTGCACTACTGTACATTTTCAGTTCGGGTCCCATATAAAACAAATTAAATAAAAATACATTTACTATTTTAGAATCGCCTTTAAGAATATGATATAATTTCAAGATTGGCTAATTGAGCAAATAAGCAATATTAACTATTTTACCACGTTTATATTTATCTCTATGCTTAATATGGATATGAAGCGTTTTTTTGTTAGAAAATTTAACTAAAAATTTTTATTTTCATTTTACTTATTTCTCGCTGTAAGGGTGCGATCACATACATAGAAAGCGAAGCTGAGAAAAGCCAAGCCTTTCCGAACGGAGAGAAGCTTTCAAATTGCTGCAGCTGAATCCATGCATCGCTGAGTTATTGTAGTTTCTTCAAAAATTCTCCAAAAATATAAAAAACTCTAAAGTCACCTTAAAAAGTATAATATTTAGTGCCATCTGCTGTGAGATGAAAATAAAAATTGTCTCAATAAAAAGCTTTACAACTAAAAATAGCTTATCTAGAATTCTCCTATGACATATCAAAAACAGGTAACGAGTAGTAACTTGTAAAAACTTGGTTTTGTTTGTGTTATGATCTAGAAAACCTGTACATAAAACTCCTTTATAAAATAAAATCCTTGCAACATGCAGTACTTTCTAGTTAAGATTGGCTCATATTTAGGTCATAACAACTACAAGATCTCACAATCGTCGAGGTACTTTGGCTGCACATTTGTTATGGGCAAATATACAAAGAAGACATTGCTTCTATACTGCAATGGGGGCATAAAAATTTTCTTACTTGCACAAATCCATAAAAACATTTACATTACGGCACCATTCCCTTCACACATAATAGCCATGTCAAAAATTTAACAGAAGAAAAGCAAAAGCAATTGCCATGTATCTAAATAAACACTCCATTCCATCTGTAATTGGTGCCACTCCTTTGTCGTTTTGTTACACTTTCACTTTTCTAACATTTCTGTCAGTCAGCCAGTCAAGCAGTCACTCAGTCACTAAGTCAATTACTGGGGCAGACGGCTAGTCTGCGCGCATTTCAACCCAAGTCATACATAGTCAGTCATTTAGCGCCCACTCAAAGCAGCCGAGGTCAAGTACAAGCAGATACCAAATATGGCTAGTGGGCGCGCATGCGCTATACAAAGTATGTACATATGTACATAGCCTAAAAATGATTTTGCGGCTTAAACTTCTTGTACATTTTCGATAGATAAATAAATATCCGCTGAAGGAGAGCTGGCAGGAACGCAATTTTTGTTACATGCACATAAAGTGGAGCATTTATGTTTACACTCAAATACTGCTTTTATGTAGGAGTATGCTATGCTACTGTTGTTTTCTTTATTTACTTCAATTTCGTGCTTTACAGTTTTCCATTTCATGCGATCGCTGACAAAAGGTTAATGGTGAAATGAAAGTGTAAATGATATATCAAAAATAACAAAACGTGAGCATGTGGTAGTGAAATTCAAAAGCTCATTCAAACCCAATGTGCTACCTTGAACGTATCCAATAAAATTTAATTCTGATTGTTTGTAATAACGGTTGAAAAAATAAACTTAAAACCATTATAAAAATAATTTGATTTAACTCTGGAAAAAAGTATAAAACGAATTAGACTTTTTAGTCACATTCCATGCAGCTAAGGCCTCTCATGAATATCCAAGAGATTTATAGCTTGGAAACGGGACTGCCATGGAGCGCTTCTTCTTAAATAAGAATTTTTTATTCAAGGTCAAATCGGCAGAGTCAGCTCTACACTCGGTTGTAGAGTATTGAGCAGTGCTTCTTGTAGAAGGACTATGCGGCTGATGCCTGCCTTAATATTCTGGCGGCTTTCAATAACTTACTCCTTGAATCAATCGTCAACTCCGTGCCGAGAACAACCTGGTCAAATTTATTTATGGCATATTTTGTGACTGAAAATAGGACTGACGCGTTATGACGGTGTTGCATATGCCCATTTCGGTTGTGTACAAGCCTTAGAAAGCCCAGCTTCCCAGCCGCGGTTGGTCTGAGAGACACTTGCCGTGGGATTATTTGTAAAGGCGAGCAGTACGGAATTTGTATGGTGTTTTCGTTCTACAGAAAATTTTGCCTTCTCAGTGCCCTCATGTACAAATACTAAAACGAGGACAATGAAAAGGCAACATTTCTAGAACATTGTAGAAAAGAAAACGCCATTCAGCTTCTAATAGCGGACTGGGCGTGTGCAATCAATGAAACTGAATTGGATGGAAAAATAGGATTAGATGTATTCTTCTATCAATATCTAGTTTAATCTCCTGAATGACTGTAGTTTATTTCAAAGCGGGGTTGCCACCTTAAAAAAACGGATGGTATGCTTACAAATGAAATGCCATTCAAAAAGAAGAATAAGCGCAAATTGAAGTCCTTGCAGTGGCAGCTGGCTAGCTCCTATTAGCCACTGGTATGCCGAAATGGGTGTTAGGTGCTTTTTTTGATTGTAGTCTACATATGAGGTTAGGCTCAACATCGTCTCTAGCACTTACTGCAGCAGCTGTATGGAGGACGATGAGTTGGAATCATCTCAACATTCTCCTTTCTTTTTCACTTCTGCTAAATGGTAATCACAAAGAGCAGTTGCAAAATACTAGTCAAGGTGTGCCTCTCTCATTTCCAGTTTTGATCGTTGGGCGATGAAATCTGAAAATATTGAACAAAACAATTGCACAAATTAACAAAATAATTTCTTTATTTGGGTCAAAAGCAAAATATTATTTATTAGAAACATTTATTTTTGAAACTAAATACTTCGGGGGAAAAACGTATGTATGTAAAACTTTTGAACCCTTTAAACGAAAGACTTAAGAAGCAAACTTGTTTTGACTTTGTGAACATTATCCTTAACGAATTAACAAATGTAAGTGAAACGCTGAAATATAACCACCAAATATTTCTAATTATAGTACTTTTTCATAGTTTCGTCT